CTATATACTTGAATTGTTAACTTTTATTTTCCATAATCAGCAAAATTTCTTACGCCATAGCAGTTTTCATAATTACAACACGCGCAATAAACAACAATTTATCATCCCTTTAACAAGGCTTAAACTTGCCCATAATTCTCCCACGTCAATGGGCATTAAATTATTTAATGCTCTTCCAAGTACACTTAGAAGTCAGGGAACAATAAAGTGCTTTAAATCTTCTTATAAAAAATTTCTTCTAGTCAATGCACCATATACAATTGATGAATTTCTAAATTGTATTGATAAAAATTGCGGATCTCTAGTGTAATTTATATTGCATTCTTTCTTTTTTATCCATTGTATTGTGTATGACCAACATTTTTAAATTGTATTTAATTGTATTTTTTTGTGTCTGACGTATCCTATACAATTCAAAATTTGTCTTGGGAATTAATATATATTATTATTATTATTATTATTATTATTACTCAGGTATGTTTAATAAATTTGTATTCTTGAAAATTGATAAATTGAATGCCAATTAGTAATACTTAGGTCAGTGGTTATATTAGGTTGAATTTGCTCGAGAGTCGAGAGTGTGGAAAACAGACTCGACATCTAATTAAGAAATTCATACCGCACTGAACCCACGCGAACCTCGCACAATTGAAAATGAAAGGCGCAGGCAAATAAAAGGCGCACTATTTCGGCTTTATTGATTTGGGAAAGGAAAGGCAAGCAATTAGAGTAATTGCAACTCTTGTATGACGCACCTTTCCCACCGTGGTCGTTTATTATGAGTCACGAATTTTCATCACAATATTTTTTAAGTTTTTAAGTTGTTATCGTTCTGTCGGCTTCTTATGAATACGCTACCAGATTTGGCAGAACAAGGCTACTGATAAAATACACGGGACAAAATGTTTAGATTTATCTACACAGCGTGACGTATTTACGCTGGTTTGTCCGCTTTTGTTAAGAACAAAAAGGTCGTCGGTAGTTGCGTGCGACAATAAAGAAAAACGCCATTTCATTTACATACGGTGACACGAAAGGGAGATCGTTATGAATAGTGTTCAAGCTACAGGTTACAAAGTAATTTGATCTGGGCATGGGGTCCCTGTTTCTAGATGTTTGACCACCCTACATTTACTAGATAAGTTTTAGACTCCAGAAGTGTGCCTTAAATCATTTCGCACATTTTTGCATGTGGAAAATAAAGTACTTTTCGCAATACGATTGCATAAAAATAAGTAAAGACTAAAAATAGTTGTAGTTGCGCTTATAAATATGGAAAAGAAGACCCTTAAAATCAATGACATTGAAATTAAACATTATCTGATCATGCATCCGAAAATAAAATGAATCGGATGTCAATATTTCGTCTATTTTTAGTTAATGTTTACATTAAAAACCATTTATCGCGTAAACATTTTGTTCTTTGACATTCTGCATTTCTGCATCGTTTTTCCTACTACTTTGCTACGTGTATTTATGGTGGAAAATAGTACAGAGGAAGGTCTTGAAAGTCTAAATGCAGCACATGTTTCTTATGATGATTCACAGCGAACTTTGCACAACGTGAATCATTGTGTTCATTTCACTCGTGGTATTTTAGAATGCGGGAATATTGATCTTTTGGACGGAAAAGACTATTTTCCACTAATCAAAGCATCCTATAAAACCATAAAGAAAGCTCTTTCCCTAGCAGTTCTTCTGGGGGAATTGATGGTCCAAGACCGAGACACCTTTCAGATTTAATAACGATTTCTCTCCAACGCCAACTTTACTAGATGCCCTTGCCAAATTTGTAGATGTCATTCTGGAAGGGAAGGCAATTTACCGAAATCAATTCGTCGATATTCTTTGGCGCTTCATTGACGGCATTGATGGTGGAATTGTTACTTGTACCTTCATATGTACTAGGCTTGAGTTGGTTAATACCCACTCAGCGCTTTTTTTCTTGTTGAACGACTTGTGGGCCTTAAGCTAACTTACTTATTACGTTCCTCTCCACTGTATCAGCACCTGGATTTGTTACAAGGTTTTGATGATCTATTCCGTATAACTGTCTGGAGAACAACAAATATAACAATGGATGATGCAACATATAATGAAACAACTCTTCCATGTGACCGTGTTATACAGGATGGCTCAGACCACTGGTCTACTCGTTTTAATTCTCAGGGGTCAACAATGTTTAACAATTCTTTGAAATATTAAAAGGAACCACAAATGTTTATTGTTTCTATAAAGCAATCGATTTCGGGTTAACCACCCATCATCAGGCTATGCGTCATTTGATATATATAAAATGCAGCGACATTGAGTTGAATAAAATTGGATAAAAAGTATAAATAAAATTACATTAATGAGTCATAAGTAATAACCAAATTTCAACATGTGCTCTTAAGAACTAAATTTTATAATTGCATCCAAATAAGATGTACTCCTAGTCAAGATGTTCTCGATGTACCTACTGTCTTCATTAATGTAATTTTATTTATACTTTTTATCCAATTTTATTCAACTCAATGTCGCTGCATTTTATATATATCAAATGACGCATAGCCTGATGATGGGTGGTTAACCCGAAATCGATTGCTTTATAGAAACAATAAACATTTGTGGTTCCTTTTAATATTTCAAAGAATCTCAACGAACCAAAAAAATGGAGAACTTCATTACATATAATGTTTAACAAATAGCCAAGGGATTGTTCTCTATCGAATAAACCGAAAATTGGACCACCCAATCCTCACTTTTGCGGGGGTAGGCGGACAACTTTGTAATTTTACATAGAAACCCACATTTTTTATTCCATGTTTCGATCTACTAAAAAAATTATGAAGATGTTCCAAACATTTGTTCTCGTAGTAACAGGTAGCGTTGTAACCACAGAAGCTATTGCAGCAAATTTTCTTAGTTAACAAATGGAATAATTTCCGAAAAATAACAAGAAATGTAACTTTATAATAGGCGATAGGAAAGCTCTCCGAAAGACGTACATTTAAAAAATACGTTCAAATCCGATGAATAGTTCGCGAGAAATCAGCTTTTGGCTTTGGAACTTATTTTCGAGACAACCAAAAATGATTTTGCAAATCGATTTATTAAAGTTTGAACTTTTTTCAGGCTTCTATTTGAACAAAATGAATGATTTTTATTAATCCGAGTGCCAACGGCCTATTATAGAGTTACGTTTCTTGTTATATTTCGCAAGTAATTCCATTTGTTAGTTAACTAAAAAAAAAATTCATGGTCCTTCGATTTACAAAAATCATCGGGCCAATATCCGGGGAAGATTGTTTTAAGCGCTTATTCTTTTTCGTAGTTCATAGCAATCGTAACTTTAATGAAAAGAAAACAACACAAGAAAATAACATTCACTAGTGGGGGTCCCACAGACCAATGGCACTTCCAATTGCTTATTTTTGCGACAACCATGTTCTGCTCCATGTTAAAGTTTGGAACTTGCCATGAATAGTTTGAAATCAAAATAATCTAATATTGGATGTTTGCATTTTTACTTTGGCATTTATACAATAAAGTGGGCCTTACACGTGCATTCATTTCTGTAAACGGACCAAGTTCAAAGACATCAAACATGGCGTTAATTCAAAGTTCGACGAAATGAATGCGCGTAGAAGGCCTGCTTAACAGAAACTGACAAACAATTTTTGTTGAAGAAGCATAAAATCGCAGAGCGCCAATCTAAATCAAGGCTTTCCAAACCATTGTGGGTCAGAAACCCCTTTTCCAACATAAACTGATACCTCAGACCCGCCTAGCCAAATTCATATAAAAATCTGAGCAGAGTTTTTCGTCTTGTACGAACTTGTGCACGCCTATCGACTTGTTGAGTTTTTATGTGATGGTTTTGTCCGTCTGTGCGTCTGTTACTCGTCTAACACGAGAACGAAAAGAAATCGCGATTTCGAACCTTCGCCAATCGATTTCTACGAGTTCAAGAAGCAGTGCTATTGGATATGAGCCGGATTAAAAATTTGGTTTACGAATACGAGCCGAGTGAAAAAAATTCCCCTACTGAAAATCATATGCGCTTCTTTGTATCTTGTTTCAAAGTACAACAATGATACTTCCTACTAAATTATTAGTCATTCATATAACAAGTTGGCGAATGTAACTCGAATGATACAGTATCTTTAACAGGCGTTGATTTTTTGACCTTGTCCACCCCCAAAATCAGTTTTCGTTTATGTCGATCCCTGGGAAAGCGATTTCGACACCCGGGACCACTGATTTTATTTTTACTTTTTTTGCCAGTACGAATTTTAATTGGGAGATTCGGGGATTTAATGTTTCTTGTCGTTCTCACGAATGTTTTGATAGTTTTTGTATTCAAAGCATGTTCGAAACGCGTGTTTTCGTTGCCGCTTCCACGTAAACATAGATACCTTAAGGCATAGGTACCTACTTATCTTATCTCACCGTACATAAAAACAATATGTAGCCTTGAATTTCGGAGTTGGTTTGAAAGTTGATAAAATAAGATTGCACTTCGTCGAGATCTTTTGGGGACAGATCAGTTGAGTGTAGGCGATCGAGTTGTCTGCGGAGATTTTGGGAAAATTACTGATTTGTGTAGCTTAGAGCGGTAAACCTGAACTTTCTCGTGTCATTACGAGGTAATTACTGTATTATTTTTAGGTATTGCATTAGTCACCAGAACTAAATATCCGCGAGACACCACAAAAGTAAATATTGAACTGAAGGTGTAGCAAGCAGTTCGTGGGAAACTAGTAATAATTGCGTAATCTCTACAAGGAACCCTCGCTTCCACTGCTTTTCGTAATCTTATCTTTGGCAGTAATAAGGCATGTCATGTGCTCGTGATAATAGTAACTAAAGTGTAGTGTAAAGTCGGTCCGCTGTAATGGTAAAAATGGGGAAAATAAAAGACTTCTTTTGGGGAGGCTGTGCGTGCCCTAACATAAAGCGGTATTTAATCCGTGAGATCCGTCTATACGTCACTAATGCTCAATTTTTTGTTACAGCCGAAAATGGTTACCGCCGCCATTACGCAAACTATCGCAAGGAAAAGTGGAAAAGAGTCAGTCACCTGCAGATCGGCCACCCTTAAAGAAGACAGGATCGGATAAAAGAATTAAGGTAAGATTTGCAGATTTGTCATTTATCCCCATCGACTAATAAATACTTCGTACTAAACTTTATTCTCGACTACGGAAAAGTAGGCACTCCTCTCTTTATTTGTTGGACATTCTTTGCATTTTCCCAAAAGTGTCCGAGGGAGCATCTCGGTTAATTATTCACGTTTGAAATTCACGGGGTTGACGGACGCGTCTGCTTATTTTATTTCTTAGAGCTGTCTTTTATATTATTTATTCTGTTTACTTCGAAGTAAAATTGGAAATCCAATTTTCTTTGCTGACGTGATTAGGTACGTCATACTGCCATCTTCGTTGACGCTCCGTTATTAATGTTGACGTTTTTTTTAATGCAGAAATCGATTTGGTACAGCATCGTTGTGAAGATTACGCGTTTCGCAAATGTATATGCAGGCGTTGTTAAAAAATTACAGCAAAATGAAAACTACAGTTATTTTTTATAGTCGAAACTGAAAACTTCAGGAAATGTATTCGTTCGTGTTTCAAACTAAGAATCCTTATTTTACCGGATAGTCCAGTTCATCAATGGCGTCTTCAATCACCGTTTTGGAATTACGTTTTCGCTTTTCTAGTTTTGGGACTATAGCACTCGTTTAATTATTGTAGGTGTGAGTATTTTAGACCAGTCATTCATTGGTAAGATTTGTGATTGTCAGCCAGGAGAAGCGATGTCAGGGACGGCGAAGAATCCTTTATGTGCATCTTCTAACATGGCAAGTTTCCACAGAAGATTTTAGCTTACTTGGATTACACTTTCTCACGTGAGATCTTTAATAAATAAGTAATATTCGCAGGTTCTGTATACAATTTTGTTTGCAAAAACAAGGCTTCTGCAAACCACCGAACTGGATCACGTTTCGTTTACTAAATTTCCCCAATCCCTAGTCCTAGCACTAAGTTATTTATGGATGGAAGTCAAACTCAAAATTTTCTTTTAATTAGAAAGCGATAAAAACCAATGCACTTACAATTCTGAGTCGGTTTTTAATTCTAAAGTCTGAAAATTTCTTCGAAGAAGTTTGAGTTTGATGCGCACACACAATGGCCCATATGAATAAAAGGGAGCATATGCTTATACTTGCAAAATTCTAAGTAAATACTCGTAAGTGTTCCTTCACACTGGGCGACTTAGCTTCGCTGCTGAGCAGGGGGGCGGGACGAAGGTATTTACTTTGAATTTTGCAAGTATGTATAAGCCTATGCTCCCTTTTATTCATATGGGCCAATTTCGGAGATTGTGCTATTTTGAAAAACATGCTGGTGTTTCAAGAATTTACGACTGAAACATTTTTGTATTGAAAACCAGGTAGTTTTTTGAATATAGCACAATTGCGAGGAGGTCATGACTATTAAATCTTTGCTCTTCGTACTTTCTATAGGTTTCACATGGTGCCTGGCTTAAGAAACTATTATTCTGTTCCTAATCCGGACAGAAGAGAAGTTCCTCGGTATTATGATAGTGATTTAATGTTCCTATATCGTTATCTCTTAATAATCTATTTTGTTACCCATTATTTATATTTGTTAGGCATTTGTTAAGTTATATCTAGTTTTATAGTTTTCCTTATCTTTGTACATACCAAAAATCTAAACAAATTTAGGCTCTCTAGGACCGTGTAGCTACCGGTTGATATTTAGAAGGTTTGAAGTTCCGTACTTCTCGTACTTTCTATAGGTTGCACGCGGCGCGTGGTTTAATGAGCTAAAAGGTATTCTGTTGCTAATCAGGACACGGGGAGTTTGCCCATATCATTAAATATTCCTATATCGTTCCTTATATTATCTCTTAATGAATAGTTTTTTTGTTATCCACTGTTTATTCTACATTTGTATTTGTTGCGTATTTATTAGGCTATATCATGTTTTTGTCTGCATTAAAAATTTATAAAAATTAGACCTCTCAAGTCCGTGTAGCTATCAGTTTTTATTTTCTACACCCCTTACACATTCAGGTGCATGTGAAATTTTCGTTGAGGTACGATGTTGCTGTTTTTAATGGTCGTTCCCTCAATAAATCATTGCGAGTTGCCGCACATTAAATTCTCAACGGAGATAGGTCTACGTTCAAATCAGTATTAGCGTAGTAACCTTGTTTAACGGTAAGTAGAATCCAATTTTTCTATAAATTCTTATAGGAATAGAAATGCTCATGAGAAAAATTAAGTTGCATCGGCAGTTCCGCTGCAAGTAATTTGTTGACCAATTCTTTTGTTTTTTATTAAATGGGAAAATAATTCCCTGTGTGAACATTAAGTCATTTTAATTTTTATTGGGTCACCGAGCTTTTCAAGGCTGTATGCTGAGCTTCAGAATTCTGTAAAGTCAGCTTTTTTTACCAAGCCGCGCCTAATTTGCAAAGTTGCAAAAGTAACCTATGCGATCTATTTCAAACGGGTAATTCAAAACCAAAACCAGACAATGGGGATACAATTTGGAACAAATAATTCATTGACGAACGTGTGAGAAGATTACTAAAAGCTAGCCGTATTACAATCGACAAAATAAAAACTAGTTATGGCTGTTATGACTTATGAGTAATATTTGTTTGGTGCAATGTTCTTGAAACCTTGACTCTTTTTAAACTGAGAGATCAAGGGGAAAAATCGCAAACAATTTAACGCAAATAAATGCTCTAGTTACAAAATCCGAATCCAAAAGGTCGAATCGACGTAAAATCTATTTTTATTACATTTTTGGATTCTACGTAAAATTTCAGTTCTTTTGATACCTACCCACATGTCGATATCTAGAATTTATCGTTTTTAAGTATAGTACTTGAAAAAAGGGCGGATGCAGACCGTGAAAATTGCTTACTCGAAAACGGTTAGTAGTTATGTCAACCCATTTTTAGTAGTGCATAGAAAAAGAATAGGGCTTTCTTTTAGTGTACTCGTATTATAAAAAGTAAAGTCGCGTATAACCGCACCTATAGAGAGATCCAAATTTAGAAAATTTCAAAGACTCTTTTTTAAATGAAATTAACCACAATGGTTTGAGTTGGGGCATACCCCACCAATTGGTTGAGAGACGATGGACCAGGGGACCTCCCAAGACGAATTGAGTTTTGTAAATGGCTAATGTTGAGGGATCAGGAAGATGGTAATTTTTTTGGGAACATTAGTCAAATTTAGAAAAAATGGCGTGTTGAAATGCGATCAAAATTATTTTTTCAATCGAGAACTACACTTCTAAAAGTGTTGTAGTTTTAATGTGTGCTAGGCCTCTCAGAGCAGGAGAAGACATGATCTGGAGAGTAAGAAATGCACTACAAGAGATTGAATCACAAGTGATAGAATAGAACATTAAGAAAAAGAATTGAATTTTGTTTGAAACGCAAAGGCGCTGATTTTAAGCAATTCTTTCCTTGTTTTTTTTTTGTTTAAAATGCAATTGTCATAAAATCATGGCCAACAACTAGAAAGAAAATCCGAAAAAAATGGTATCCATTCAATGAACTGGGATGAAGTCAAAAATCAAAAGTCTTAAATTTGGATCTCCATAGGTGCAGTCGTACGCAACTTAACTTTTTTTAAGTGTACTAAAAGAAAGCCCTTTTCTTTCTACACTGATAAAAATTGGTTGCCATAGCTACAACCGTTTTCAAGTAATCAATTTTCAAGTTACCGTCTGCATTCGCCATCTTTTTAAGTCAAAATAACTTGAAAATCATAAATTATAGTTATCGACATGTGGGTACCAAAAGAACTGAAGATTTACGAAAATGCAATAAAAAATAGGGGTTGCGATTTAAAATAACGAAGTTACTAGCTACTTCCTGTATTTCTGGAAGTGCCACATTTTGAAAATATTATTTAGTATATATCGATTCGGCCTTCAGAGTACAAATTTTCAAACATCTACTCGTAGACGCTTTAGCACAGTTTTTAGCAATGACACCTGCCAACAGTATTTTAGAAACTTTATCTTCTATAAATTACCTACTTCCTATATTTTTCGGTATGCCTTGTGCTTTAGGTACACGTGATTTTCGTAAATAAAATTAAAAAGACTTATCTAGTAAAAATGTGAGAGATTGTACCCAAAATTGCCGTCTTTTTTTTATTGGATCGTTCGTAAACCGCATTAAAGTTGCCTCTTACTTTACACCATGGTCTTGAAATTCTCACATGTAATTCAGATTTCAATTTTATTAATTATGGTTATATTACTTCAAATTTGTTCAGATGGCATTCAAACATTATCCTTTATAACCCATAAATGCAATATATTTCACAAATTTCAACTATAATGCAGGGGTATATCGTATCCTGTACGTATACATGTCAAAGGAATACATTTAGTATTTGGTAAGCCAGCGATTTAGGCAGAAATCCGCAACCCCTTTGTACGGTGGTACGGTGATGAGCTTTTTTGTCCAATTATTCTTTCATGAAACATAAGGGATCATTTTAAAAGGATTATACTTTTCGATTTATCAATATTATTATCAGATAACGGTGCGCGATAGAAAAATGTGGTTTTAGTCGATATTAGGTATCCCAAGTTATCCGCTACAGTCTATACTTTCCATTATAGCCTCCAGTCCAGTATCTTAGATTAATTTATTGCGGCTATGGTCTTAATCGTAAACCACTTTATACATTAATTGATTACTTAATTATTTAATTGATAATTCGATAATTAAAGGCGCCTCGAATGGACAGAACATTGTTGGCATTTTACTCTTTCAAAAAGTTGATGTCCTGCTACGATAATACGTTCCGTTCCTAAAAGAGTAGTTTGTCTAGATAAATGTTTTGTTAAAACGATTTCCACCCTTTCGCCAAAAAAACGTATGAACTAATGCTTTTAAAGGACGGAACAACAGGTTGAACAAACTCTTGAAACCAGATTCAAATATCTTTGAATTCGTACACATTTTGAAGAATGCCGCAGAATACATGGACTATATGTATACGATTGGCAATACTTATATTTGGAAGGGAAAAGAAGAAAAAAGAAGTAGGTAGGTACGTAAAATTGGACGGACATCCACACATTGCTCAATAGTTTCCTTTGCATCGGCAGAAGATCAACTTCAGAAGCTCAGGGGGTGTTGGACCTTTCGAGCTTTGTACAGGCATATTTGTCCATATTTTTTTGCAACTCTAGTCTTCAGGGTCGTTTCCATTACCGAGATTTGATGGTAGACTCGTAAGCGGGATGTATCTTAAGCTGGATTCTGGAAGAAATGAAGATAAAGTAAATGTACTTTCTGTCACTGATTCGGTGAACCGTTTATATCTAATGTTTTCAAGAGAATCATCATCTTTATTGCCACCAACCAAAGGGATGAAAAATGTTCACCAATGACAGTGAGCAAAGGAGAAGCGACTCTCTCAATTTAAACTTTACGTTTTCACCGTGTATCTCAGAAACAAACGTAGCTAGATTGATTCGGTTTGCGGTATTAAAAGTTTCACAAAAAAGTGGCAAGTGGAAAATCGGTTACTTGAGCTGAAATTAACTGTTTTTGGCGTTTTTTGGCTCTTGATCATGTGGAAAAATCTATTTAGTTTAATTAATGTTTCATAAACCATTTGATCTTAAAATGAACTTTTTCCGGGAGCGAATTTTCAGAGAGTGCATCGTTCTGGAAGCTAATTGTAGTAATTCTTACGCGTTACGGCTCTTTAGGAGTGAATTGTTCGGGGGCGAATTATACATACCATTTTTATATGAAAATCGATCAAAATTTAAAATTGATGTAATAAAAATATCGATTCTTAAAATTTAAATCCATTCATACAAATCACACCATTTGTTTTGGTCGCGAGACACTCTTTTTTATAAAGTCCAAATAATAAATTACGAAATTACAATCATTTCTTCTAAACACAATCTTATCGTTGAAAAACTTTCATTTTTTTATCTGAAATTGTTTGAAAATGCGAGCCTGGATAATTAGTACAAACTTAGTGATTTGGTTCTCATTTATCACACGAACAATATCCGTTCCTTATTGTCTTGTGGAATGTCGATATTTTCCACAAACTGTGCAACAGAAGCTACCAAGGATTTTGCAAAAGCAGGATAAAAAGTTTGAGATTTTTAAAAGAGAAAGGCTGAATATCAAATTTGAAAAGTTGAAAGTCAGAGTGGGCTATGTTAAAAAACTAAGTACTTATAATAAAAATTAGTCTGATTTTTCAAATGTTGTACCCTTTTTTTCTCATTGTTGGGACCATTATGGTTTTCAATACTTTTTTAATGAGATTGTATGAAAATCATAAATGCTATTGTGGCGAGAACAAAAAGGGAAGTAACTCCAGTGCAAAACTTTACATAAAGAAATTACTGACCGTATAGGTAAGTTCCTTTTTTTTTAAGATAAATACTTCTACATAAACTATCCCTTTAAGGATAAGGGAAGGTTTTATATACTTCGACTTTCAGTAAGCAGGAGGTCATTTTCTTTATGTGCGTTCTTAACATTTGATTTGATTTGATATGGGTATAATGTTTTTAATTCTTCTGTTCTCAGTATGCATCCCCATGTTTCCAAAAATAAAAAACGCTTTAAGATCTACGGGAAATGGAAACTTCTGAAGGAAGCTTTCCGTTCAGTACAGTTTCATGAGCACGTATTTAACATATACCTATCTCAAAATTAATGGGGCAAGATGTTTCGTCTTAAAAAAGCAATGTCTCAGAAATTTGCATGGTAACTTGCAAAAACCTCCTGGGTCATCATTTTGCGTCCCTCATATTTTCTGTTTTGTCTGTTTCCACCTTAGCTTAGGTTGACCACCCTCGGTAAATAGGAATAATAGGAAAGGCTTTTGCCTTATGGTTTATTAATTATTGAGACATGCTACGTGAGTTTAAAATAAGGTCTTTCGGACGAGGGGCGTCGATTAAATTTCGTTTCAATTATTCACGTAGAGAATTACTGGGGACGGCGCCGGTAAAACTATCGATGCTTTCTGGTACTATTTTTATTCATTGGTTCGTCAGTAATCCCACCAAACTACTCTACAGAGGAAAAGTATTACGGCAATTAACTATGATAGTTAATGCGCCGCATGCGATTTTACACATCTGGACTTTTACCGCAACAACAGCCGGTATTTATTTGTTTATTGTCGCCTTTAGTGTTTTTCGAAATTTTCCGAATTAATTATCGGATCGAGATTTTAGAAACCGAGCACAAATTGACCTTGTTTCTATACTCTATGTATTTCGTCCGCTACAACCTTACGTAATGTTTTATAATAAAAGTACGTGGTGTATTGCAAATTAGGTTCAATTAAACCAATTTATATTAGGTAACCGCGTGCAGTTCGCTTGACAGTTTTCGGCGGAAATCAGAAGCTGTCGATGGGCGTAATTAAAAGTTAATTAATTACGTTTTAAGGTATGTGTTTGCACAACCTTTCTATATGCAAATGCGGCCAGGTAGAACAATTCTCAAGGCTGCAACAGTCAGTCTGGAACACAAAACACGCGCATCATGTAGAGATTTTGTGTTATTACGTTTGCATTTGGTTACAGGTTCCGCCCGATATGGGTAACAAAACGTCGGTGTCGGAGGGTGAGGACGAAGAAGAGAGAACGGTCACGCTGAGGGGAATTACGCCGATCGCTCCGTCGGAATTCACAAACGGCGGCGGCGAAGAAGCGGACGACGAAGTCGAACTGCCTCCGCCGATGAAGCCGATACAGGAATCAATTTTGGTGACGGCCGGACCTCCAGGTGCCGTACCAACGATCGACGAGAATTCCTGCAAGCGTGTAAGTAACCCAAAATTTGATCGAATCACGTGCATGTAAGCAATTAATTTTTAATGTTGGTCCAACAGGTGTCTAGTTTAACACTCAAGTCCCTGGAAGGTGCCACTTCTGCAGATTTGGCAGAGATTGAGCAAATTGTTAAGGAAAGAATGGTGCGAAATTTGGCAATACTAACACAGTTCAGAGTATTTTATTTAATAGAGCATGCCTTCGTTCCCTTTTAGTTTTTTTGGGTGTAGCAGTATGAAGACTAGTTGTAGTTTAGTAGTTCCCCAGAGAATTGCACTGTCAATCTACCCGATGCACTTGTTGATCGTTTCAACTAATGCGGTTAAAATGATCACTAATGGTTTCCGTTTTTTCGTTCGAAAGTGCATGATTTTGGCATGAAACTATCATTCCATCCGCAGTCGGTTGATTCAATCTATTTTCCAGGAGCAACACACCGAAAATTTGGAGCGGAATTCCTTGCTGCGCGACACGAAATCATCGGATGCAATTGCCGAGTGCGGAAGTGGTGTCAATTACCATCGCGATCTTTCAGCGCAATCTTCGTCGAATGAGGCTACCGCCTTAGCGTTTAGTGGTGACGAAAGTGATAAACCGACAGAGGACGTTATAGATAGTGCGAAAAATATGGAAACTCAGATACGTAAAAGACAGTTTGTGTTAAGAGAACTTGTTGAAACCGAAGACGCGTACGTGCGCGATTTAGCTTTGATTGTCGATGGGTACATTGCGACAATGCGCGATCCCGACTGCGAAATTCCCATGCCAGAAGATCTAAGGGGTGGAAAGGATAAGATGGTGTTCGGCAATATAGAAGCCATTTTCGAATGGCATCGAGAGTAAGTTGTCGATCGTGCACTAGTACCTTTTTTATCACATTCAAATTGCAGATTCTTCCTTAAAGCTCTTAAAAGATGCATAGAGCACCCAACTGAATTAGGTCCCTTATTTAAACGTTACGATAGAAAGCTTCATATGTACGTAGTCTATTGTAAAAATAAGCCAGTCTCCGAGTATATAGTATCAGAATATCTAGAAACCTATTTTGAAGAGTTGCGAATTAAGTTAGGACATAAGCTTCAACTGTGCGATTTGCTCATTAAACCTGTACAAAGAATTATGAAATATCAGCTACTGTTAAAAGATATCCTGAAACATACGGAGAGGGCCGGATTGCGTGCCGAAGCAGAATCTTTGAAAAGTGCTTTAGAAGTTATGATAGTCGTTCCTAAGGCTGCTAATGATATGATGGACGTTGGGCGGCTTCAAGGATTTGATGTAAGTAGTACACTGTAAATTCTCTTTACGGTATTATGTTTTGGGGCTCAAGTTCTCTTTTAAAACAAATAATTATTAGATGTATTGTGGGTGTGGGAATTTTTTTAAGGCATAAACTTTCCTTTTTCAAAATTTCAAGCGGAATGTATGCCATTATCAATTTCCTTGACCTTTATTTTTGTATGGAACGCCCGGTATATTCTTATACAGTATGTTATAAACTCATATTTGCTGCTTCACTCTTCATTGGGGGATCAACTCTCTCCCAATCCTAAATGCAATTAATTAAAAAACGATTGATTTCCAGGGTAAAATCACTGCTCAAGGGAAATTACTCCTCCACGGTCCACTTACCTGCTCAGATGGATCCGGCAGTAGTAGTAATGCTCTAATAGGAAAAAGTAAAGAGCTTCTAGTATTTCTTTTCGAACAAAGTATGATATTTTCGGAGGCGGTGGGCAAGAAAACTCAATTTAGCAGTCCGCAGTACTTCTACAAAGCTCACATACAAGTAAGAGCGCGTTGGTAAAGCGAAGAATCCGTTGCTAATTTCCATTTTTTAGGTTAACAAGATGGTGTTAAATACGCTCGACGACGGCTTCACAGTACGATCGACCGACCCCGGCAAGCCAAACCTCGCCTTCACCTGCCAGACGTCGTCGCCCGAGCTGCTAGAACAGTGGATAACGACGATAGATAATATTTTACAGACACAAAAGGACTTCCTCAAAGCAATTCAAAGTCCGATCGCGTATCAAAAAGAACTTACCAAAGAAGCGTGAGTATAACATTTCGCCTTCTAGGGCTTGGGATTCCGCAAACTCTGTGCTGGTTGTGATTTGTGACGGACTGATACTAATATATCTCTACCTGTTTTAACTTGTTTAAGCTACAATAAAACAGAAACTGTGGAAGATTTATTTATTTTTCATTTTAGCGCGTTCTCAACAAACATTCCACATTTTCTGTTTGATTACTGTGCTGGTTTGGGGACTAAAATAAATGGTTGAGTGGTGCCATGTTGGCAAGTTTTTCTAGCTCTAACAACCTTTCTTCTCCATCGACCTAAGCTTGTGCGAAATTGCGCGAAACAATTGCGTTTAGCAAAATTGTTTCGCGAAATTTTGAGTATGTAGATGCATTTTCAATTTTTCCAAAAGCACTTGATTATCGACCATTGGGTAATTTATTTTATACACGAGAAGGGCAATCGTTTCTTTCTTTTCGATCGTGAGAAGGTACGTTATTGTAATTTTGAAACTGAATGACAATCACAGACAAATTTTGAAGCTATTAGTTTTATTGCTCTGTGTATTTTGATTATTTGTTTTGCTTGGGACATAATGACTAGGGTTCATTGAAGACGAAAAAGTAACTTTCAGAATGTGTTTCTCATTTCTGCTTTTGGTCATTACTTAGTAGGAGTAGATGGACAAGTTTGAACTAATCGAATCTTTTGAGTATTCGATGAGTTAGCTGTAATCCGCCAAAGAATTTTGATTCCATTGTAGACGAGACAATTTTAAACCAAGAAATAGAAACACTTTAAATGCATGATCAGTTGTGTAAAGAAGCTTTGTCATTTTTAATGCACGACAGATGGGAGTCCAAATTCTCATCTAGAAATTTATAAACGAACTCCGTCCACATCTCCAAACAATGTACCTTCTTACGACGCAACTTGTTTGTTGTCACATAGTAACACTTTAACTGTTAACGCTGAACCTTCTGCTTGCTCAAAAATTATAGTGATTGGTCGATTTACAATTTTCGTAGCACTAAATCATATAACGTGTATTTGCAAATGATAACAATCGCACGTTGAGAACCTATACCTGATTGAGCATGAACATTATATCACAAGATACGAATAATAATAATAATAAAGTGCTGCTACTTAATATAAAAATTTCGCCAATAATACTCTTTAAGATCTGATCTTACACATGAAGTGATATATGTTGTATTAACTGTACTGTTAATTGTATTATTATCTAAGTTTTGTCATGTACATAGAATGATGTATGTTTGTACATATATATTATATTGATTAATAAGCGATGAAAATGGAAATTTTCAATAGAATAAAATAATTAAATAAAAGTGCATCTTTTTTACACAATAAACACTTCCTAGGCAATTACTTCCGACGCTGGGACTGGCTTTTTGGGTTTTTTAGTATTGTTCGCTTGCTATGAGAGATGAAAACTTAACATTTAACTTGCCTGCACTTAATTAACGAATTTGGAATGTTTTTTTTTCTTGGGGGAAACGTTTTCTGCTTGAAACTCTGCCGCCAGTAAAAGGTTTATTATTTCATTACTTTTAAATTCTTCTAAATAGTCCTTTCTCGGATTTATGGCCAGTGTGGGATCCCGCCCTCCTTAGGAAAAGCGTTTCGTCGTCTTCGCCTTCGGCGGAGAACAGTCAGCGGAAGCACGCCGGACTTCACAAGGCGAACACCATTGGAATTCCGTCCGATGCCGAATTGAACGAGGCGAAACAGCCGCACACGCCGATAAATAAGCCAAGACTGAATATTTTCGGGTTTCGAAATACCCTTAGAAATAAACATAAGAGTGATGTACCTGTAGTGGAATCTCCAAAAGATGGCGATAAAAGTGATACTCCACGTCGATGGTCTGATGCCAATCACTCCACGGTAATTATAAATTGTTTCTTTTATTGCATGTCATTTATTTCGTATGGAGGAAGGATTCGAAGATTTTTAAATCTTATAATTTAAGAAATTCCTCTCTAACATGTGCTTCATTTGGCATTGGTATTGATGAGGCATGTCCTTCTGCATTTAAGGCGCCGCCGTCTGGATTTAGAAAAAAACGGTTTGTATGAAAGTTGCACCATAATTTAACTCAAAAACTCATAAATTACCCAAGTATTTTTGGAAAATTAAATTTACCTCCATACTCGCGCGCCCGATTAGAGAAAAAAAGAAAATCTCGCGTTTTGGATTTTTTGAGGTCGTTATCTCGTAATAAGATTTTGTGCTATTTTTAACATATTCCCATTTTGTGCTCTTATGGTTTTTCAGTTATTTAATTTATCAATTGTTATTTTTAAATCAACGTTTTTTATCTTATTAACGGAAGCGGAACATTTTTAGGATCGAACCATCAACTCGCTAGATAAGAAACATTGCTTCATAAAATAATCAACAATTGAGTAGGTATTACAAGTTTCAGTTTATAGAACTTGCGGTTTTGTAAGAGGGCATTTCTTTCTCTGTCGGCGAAATTACAAAGAGGAGTTACGAAAGGGATTCCCTAAGAGTATGTTATCTGTCGACCTGTCATAAATCTTAATCTTTTGAATGGAAAAACCATGCTAAATAATAACCGCTTGTCTCTTTTTTCGTAATTTCATACACTTGACCTTTAAAGCTCAAAGGACGGTATGATTTCTAAATTTTTATGAATGATTATTAGGTTCCTCATAGAGTTGATTAAAAATTGACTAACGAGCTCGTGATTTGTGCCCTTACAATCTACATGTTGAAGTTTCTATTTATTCTACGAATGATGTCATGGTAATAAAGATGATTTTAGAGAAAGCAGAAAAGGCCATTGAATTTTTTCGTTACTGGGAGATATTCCATGTCCCCCAGTATACAAAGACAATTTTGAATTTATCATTTTTCGCAAGACCTTCTTGCAAGTTTATACGCCCTATTCCATTACCATTAAAGGTGTTTTAGTTTCTTTTAGTATTCCGAAATAGTAACCATTTTAGTGAAAAAATAATAAAACAAATACAAATTGTGCACAACTCTTGTGTAGATAAAGTGCATTTTTGTAACACCCCTACGCCCCAATCGTTCTTTGTGAGTAACATCTTCCGACCCTCTGTTCTCGACATATTCGCACCTAAAGATTTGACCCTACCATTAGATATGCCTAGTCCAGATGTTACAATCGCCCTTTGTAAGTACGCTCGTCCGACAATCCGCTCTTGAGAATTATATTCGATGATAAGAGGTCGAGGAGGTGGACTATGGTTGGTAGAAATTAGTTCCTTTCGTTGAGACCTTTCATTAGAGCACCTTGAAAACGAAAACTAGTTACGCCCCCCAGTTCCTCTCTTGATAAGGGGTAAGAAAGAAAGGCGGTAGTTGGTAGAAAACAGTTCCTTTTGTTGAGACCTTTAATTCTTAAAAAAAAATGCGCTAAAAAACTCATCTAACATACAAAATAAATCTCATTCAATATTATCTGTAACAAAAGTTTGTGCGAGAACTATCTCATAAGTAAGTTGCATTGTTTTTAGCGTATTTTTGAAAAAAAAAATAGGCTATTATATTCGTTACGTCTGAATGGCTGGCTGGCTGTCCGGCTGAGATCTGAACAATTATAAAAGAATTATACAGTGCTGTCCCTACACTCAGACTCAAACCGAACCTTTCTCGCCTTTCGCATGGATTTAAAAGAAACTTATGAGATAGTCATCGTATATGATTGCGTGAACTTTAAAGATTAAAAAAATATCGAATTTTACTAATAATCTCCTTTCAAAATTGGACATTACCGTAACTCTATCTGACGCATGACACGAAAAAGCGACCCATTGTTAAATATAAACAATGGTATACTATTGTGTACAACTACAATGGTATAATACCAAATATTCCATGGTGTAACCGAAAGTAGGTATCTTACACATGAAAAATTGGGCGATTGCGGTGGCCATAGCAGATTTTTTTTCATAATGGGTTAAGGTTCTAAAATGTTTTATCCCTAAAAGGCCCAAAAGTCTCAAAATTTGAGTTTATATTGCTTGTACCTAGGTCTTTGAGTAGATCTTTTTGAATTTCTACTTTTATCAGCTGTGTGTAAAGGTGCAATATACATTTTAGAAGAAATTGTGCACGATTATTGCGGTGAGCACCATACGCATTTGGACCTCCCTTATTCAATTACCTCTGTATATTTGTACATGCATCATTTTATAATTTTAAGGCATGATTTCAATTGCATGAACTAATATTCTCTACTTTCTTAGGTATCATAATTGATTATGGATGCTTGCTCCAAAACTAACTCTAGAAAATAAATGGCTGTGATATTATTGTAGTAGATAGCAACTATTTGAACCAGATATACGTACAACTTGTAATTACTATACTTAGCATTAATATTATTTGAATACTCGATATACTGAAATGGAATGTGGGAAGCTCTACAAACTACAAAATGGTGAGCATGAAGATGCGATTTTCGTTTTGTGTTCGTGTTGGGTGGAATGTCGGTTACCTATTTTTATTGTTAATTTGCTTCAAGGTTTGCTCGTTTTTTGGTAAATTTAAATTCAATCATGTTTTTTTTGCAAAATTGGTAACTCAGGGTTGAATTGATCTTTTTCTATGTGGAAGTTTCAATCAATTCCAGTCCCTATCTCAGTTTGGGTAAGATTATAAATTTTTCAGAAAAATATTTTGTTAAATGACAAGGTTGCTCAGCTACAATCAGGAGGCTGCAATCCGAATTGATATATGGATCTTCTGTGGGCAACAGGAAAACAGAAACTTCTCACAGAATAAAATTTATTCCCACTGGTCAGGAAAGTGGAAGCGGCCTTGAAGTGAATTGAGTCTGACCTGCTTGATTACTTACCTATCAATGTGCTTTGAGATTTAGTGTTCTTTTGCAGTCTGCTACAACTAATACTAATATACGCTGTTTACAAAAACCCATGAATTCGGGCCGTCTTGCTTAATAAACATTTTTTACAGTGTGACCAAACGATAATGTCACCAGGAACTTTGGCGCGACTCGTTTGCGAATGGCCAGACTTGTCTTTAGGTGACATAGTTCACATTGTACAGTACGATGCGATAGAAGGATACCTAGTTCGTACCACAACTCATTTAGAAGAAATATGGCTGCCGGTCCACGTGTTGTCGAACTACAATAGGAAACCTTGGTCGTTTCGTTTTCGCAAGCCGAGCTTTCCTAGTCACGGCCGGCGATCCGTCGACGGCAACTCGCTGCAAGAGAATGTGATAAACGAGGTGTCTTGTCCCGAGTTTTTAGACAAAATGAAAAACTTAGCCGCGCAGTGCGGCTCGAAGGTTGTGTTTAAATGCAAGGTGAAGAGCTGCGGCGGAAATATGAAGATCAGTTGGAGAAAAACCGAACCGGATCCGTGCGTGATGCGAAGCAGCGGCAGATTTGTGCTAAATCGAAGTAATGGCGTCGCTTCTCTCACGATAAATAATAGCAGATTGTCGGATTCTGGAAGTTACTTGTGCACCATTTCAAATGAGATAGGATCTACACAGTGTTCGGCGATTTTGACGGTCACCGACTCGTTGCCTCCCCTAACCGAACCTAAGGCCAATGTGATTTCCTGCTCGAGCGTTTTACTAGAATGGGAAAATGATACGTACGACAAATTCTTGGTGGAATACTGCAAGATTGGTAGCGGAGAATGGCTGTCGCCCAACAATGGTCAAGCAATTACAGCTCGAGCGTACACTGTCGAACATTTAACAGCTGGCGAGACGTACAGTTTTCGCATTGTAGCCGCCCATAATAAATTGGTAGGTTTACCGAGTGCCGCCGTCACACTTCCCGTTGCCGATAGCATCAGATGGCAGCAGGAGCAGTTCAAGCGGCGGTATATCGAACTGGAAGAAATTGGAAGAGGACGATTTGCTATTGTTCGTAAGGCCAAAGATCGCGGTACCGGGCAGGAAGTTGCTTTGAAGGAAATCATCAGAAGAAAACAATCGCACAAGATTACCCAAGCTGAGTACGCGCTACTTGCCGGGATTCGATTTCAAAATATCATTCACGCTTTGGCACTGTTTGAAAACGCACCCATTCCCGGCGTTGACACAATTGTGCTCGAGCTGTAAGTACCCACGCAGATACTCTCCAGGTTTTCCCCAACCTTTACATTTCAGAGTGAAGGGAGCGTTGTTATTCGATTACATTTGTGAAAAGGAAATGTATACGGAATTAGAAATTAAAAATTACAGCAAGCAAGTGATATCTGCTGTGAATTGGTTGCACGACCAAAACCTAGCTCACTTGGATATCAAGGTTTCTCCCCAGCTTTGCTTTACTTTGTTTTCTAATAATAACTTGTTGCAGCCCGAAAATATAATGGTAGATCTTAGTGGTGTTGATCCGATACTGAAGTTAATTGACTTTGGTGATTGCGTCAACACCAACACTAGTGTGATACTCCCACCTGCTTGCCTAGAGTTCGCCTCGCCCGAATTAGTGCTCGGGCAACCTGTTGGCCAACACACCGATTTATGGGCGGTCGGAGTCCTTCTGTACGTCTTACTCAGTGGCGTATCGCCATTTTTAGATGATTCGGTTGAAGAAACAACTGCGAATATTTTGAAATGTGATTACTGCTTTCCTGACGAATACTTTAGTGATATTTCTCTTGCTGTTAGGGATTTAATTCAGAAGCTTTTAGTGCTCGTGCCTATTAAACGAATATCCATGGGGGACTGTTTGGACTCATCTTGGTTTAAGGAAGTAAGTGGTAACTTTTTATTCACTGATAATGCTCACTTTTCCATTTAGGTTAGGACAAAAGATGTTGGCATTTCTGCCACAAATCTTCAGACGTTTATGCAGCGACGGCATCCTGCCAATTTAACTTCAAAGACATCGACATTTTGTACTGATTAGATCTTACACGTTTCCATTTCAGTTTTGCAGCGGTTAGAAGAATTTTATTATTGTGACGATTTTGACAGATTGTATTGTGTGATGTTATTTATTATTAATTAAAGGAATATCGATATTTTTAATTGTTCGCTTAAGTACCTCGCAAATCCCATTCACCTTTATGCACCCAGATCCGATTGGCCCAACAGGACGACCAATTTGGCTTGACCCATGACTCGCGAACCCAAACCTTTTAATCTTGTAGATTGATCCACTAACTTTGAACCATGTTAACTCTTGAACTGAACCTTGCAGAAAGTTCAATTTCGAGAGGATACAGTTGTCAAATAACGTTCAATAGTATAATCGCTTTTCTTCTGGAAGCAATTAGAACATTTCAAATATACTAAATTTACAACCGATAGTCAGCGCGCCAGTATTTCAGAAGCATTTTTTATAGGTAGTGATGGAAATAAAGCTCAATGATAAATAAAAGAGGTTTTAAAAAAAATCAAACACACCACCCAATGAAAGCTGGGGGTGCAAACTTTAGATGGGCCACCTGGTAAATGTCGAAATTGATTTAAAAATGCTTCAGGTGAAATAATTAAATCATACACTTAAAAAAAATTGCTACTCCAATACGTTAATAAAAATTGAAGAGTAATTCGCCTATTTAATCCGTATTGGGTAGTAGTTGACGACCTTCAAGTATCGTTACAAGTTGATAGAAACTTGCAGAAATGTTTCGATAAGATGTAAGTGCATTAAACTATGCATTTCTCCGTGAATCGTTATCAGTAGTATGATTTACGCCGCGTGAACCACACGTTACGTTCTAGTTTCTTTTTCGTCTTGAAGGTAAGGTAAGTTTACCTATTTTCATTGTACTGTATTTTCCGCTGGTAAATGATGAATGTTTTTCTTTTAAGTTTACGAAATTAAAAATTTAATTAGATATGGATAGATCAGCCAAATTTTTATACAAATACATAAGTGGAAATGGCCTAACAGAACATTTTTTTAATCCAAAATATTTCAATCGAAAGCTAGGTACATCCTCAACAGTCCTAAAATTTGCGCCTGCTTTGTGACTTTTATGCAAAGGTTTTGTCATGGCCGAGAATACAAGAACGGATTTCCATAATCAGAGCTTTCATATCTGAAATTAGTGTTCATTGTCCTATTGGGAAATTAATCTTTAAATATTCATGTAGAATAGGCCTTGATTTCGTACTATATTTATAGGTCGAAGAATTTTTTCACAAACAACCATTGATAACATATTTTTTGGGACGGATTGAGAAATCATTTTTAAACTTGTCAATTTTTCTGTTCATGTCGAGAGCAATGGGAAAAATCGAAATGGTTACAAGTGGTTTTTGGCGCAGGTATCCCTTTGTTTATCGCTATGTTTCTTCTGGTCCTATCCGAATGCGAAATATTTGAAAAAGGTATAGATAGGGCCAAAAGGAGAAAATCCCCTATTTTGATTTCGAGTTGTAAAAATCAAAACAAAACATAATACTTTAACTTTTATTGTAAAACAAACGTTAAATACATTTAATTATATTTATTTATATCAAAGAGTATATACTCTTTGTTTATATATAAAGCAATTACACCTACAAAACAAAACCGTCCGCGTCCGCCATTTTTTTAAACGTCCAAATAACTTAAAAACCATAAATTGTAGATATCGACGTCAGTGTGGCGTAACTCCATTTTAGAGGCCCGTCTTCAAAAACATTTGGGGACCCTTTCCTTATATCAGCAATTTTTAAACCCTGTTAATCTGTATTATGTAGAAAATAGTGTCTTGATTTAGCTTTGCTGATTTTGCATTTTGGAATTCATTGGTTCACAGGTCCGTTGTAAAATTTAGCATCACTGCGTTCAGTCAGAATCCAGTTGATTTTGTTCGAACTTTAATTGTCAAGGTTTGTGTAGTATTTGTGCCATAACAAAAGGTAATAATGTACTTAATTTTAATTGTAACTTCGTTTTATTGTGACTTGTATTGATTTGATTTGTTTAATATTGGCCAGTTCCTTCGATGTTTAAACTCGTTTAGTTTCATTAGCGACTTCAATTCGTTGTGTATATATCTGCCCTTTTTTAAATGTCTGTTACTCCGTGCACGAGGTATGTGCTGGAGTGTTAAAGTTACTTAGCGGCATTCATCTCGAAATACAACTTCAGTCTAAGGTTACCGTATCCAAGGCCTCCAGATACCTTCTGGATTGGAGAAGGTCCCGCTAATTAACAAAGTATTTCATGTACTTTATGTAAGAGACTTCAGAATGTTATACTTCACAAATGGGCAAGGAGATTGTTCACCTACATTTACCCTCCGTGAACAATGATTCAGAATTTTCTTCGGACTGTAACTGTAAACTGTAAAAGGAAGCATGCAGCTTCGTTTTTTTTCAATTCCTTTCAGAATTTTTTATAAACGAATTAAATGTTTGTACATTTCTTGCCGGGGCCCCTTTTAAGTCGGGGCCCGTCCTCATTGCGTACCTTTGAGGCATTGTAGTTACGCCACTGTCGACGTGTGAGTATCAATCGAACTGAAATTTCACGTAGAATTAAAAAAATATTTCGGAAAGTGCCAAAATTTTTTACATCGTTTCGGCCTTTAGAGTAACTCCTAAGTACAAATTTCCAAAAACCTACCTGTTTCACTTTCTCAGAAACTTTTATCTAAAGCTCCAAAAAAAACGAAATAGAAGTCAACTTACCTTCGGATGAAAATGGTAATAAGATCCTGTAATATTTTTTATATTTATGATCTCATTCCGATTGAAAGTTACTATACTACCGCAGTTGAAAGTACTCAGCTGTTAAATTGCTTAACGATTTCATTTTGAAAATTTAAATCTCGAATTAATTAGAACTCGAGTATGAATAGTAGGGAATTTGAAGATTGACTTGTATCCTCTTTTACGAAAGTGAATCACATGAATCTTGAGACCGTAGAGTTTGATTTTTTAAATTCCAGGATCAGAGCTTAAAATTTTAAACCGGGAAACCTGGGAACCTTTGTAGTTGAATCTTTAATCAATAGTTTGAAGCTGAAGTTCTGCAGTGAAGATTGAAGGTCAAATTTGAGTTTCACTCATTAATAATGTTGCTGCACGAGGTTAAATTCGTAAGTACATATGACAATTAATACTAAAAAGTGATAGTTTGAACTCTGCATTGAGACTTAATTGTTCAATGATGATGTGTTATTCGTTGTATTGACACGTACACGCTACGTGGGCTATATTTAAATATAATGAGACTTCCTCTTTCAAGGGAAAAAGGAAACTATAACTGAGTTATTTTTTGGACATATTATTGGTATGCTACAATCGTACAAGATACAACCACGTTTTATATCGAACATGGAATATAATTTTAATGTCGAAGGTACATATGAGCTTAAAGTAGTTCCAGAATACTGCATCATGCACAAGAAGTAAGTGCTGTTTAGATTTTGGATATTCGTATGCTCGTCCAGCTTCTTCCCAGGAGTCTTTGGACATGAGGAAACTACTTACAGCATCAATTCTTGTCCAGGCAATGGACGAAGGCCTACAACATATGATTGAGTGCTCTTTTAATAGTAGGTAATAGTGGTTTTTCGGAGCGCCTGAACTTTCACCAAAATGTTCTCAAAATACCTAGAATCGTCTTGGTTTTCTTGTGCCTTCCCGCGTTTCCTTAAAAATGTATAGATTCTTTTCGAATTTTTCCGGGTTTTTAGGTCGAATCTATTCTTCGGCACCGACTAACCTCTCGCTCTTAAGTAACGCCAAAGGAAACAAATCTGTTTGATAATTAGAACTTCCTTTTTGTTATGTTTTTAAATCGTTTCTTTTGGATTTTGACACACATTAAATTACTACGAAATGGGTTACAAAATCTTTGTAATAGATCTACGCATCTCGCCCTGTAGCATTCGAACTTTCACTCGCATATTGTATTATCAAAGAGTATATAACGAATATACAGATACTCTTTGGTATTATGTACCTACCTATATATAAAAATCCAATAGAAGTGAATACCGAAAGAGAGTTTAGGTGAAACCCGGACCCGGGCTCGAACCCAGAGTCCCGGACCGATATTTTGTGGGTGAAAGCCGGAGACGGACCGGGACTAAAGGCTGCTTTCGCTAGTAACTCGTACGAGTGGCTAAAATCGAATACTACCAGTATCGTGTAAATTGTTAATGCAGTACTCAAGTGCCAGTGTGAGTCGAGTGAACAGAAATCAATCCTATTTACTGGCACAAGTACTCTGTTTTAGCAACTCGTAGTAGCGTAGTATAAAGCAACCTTTAAGACATGGTCACGAATCACGTTTGTGGGATGGTATTTTGTAGCAAGAGACTACTAGATCCTTTATAGTTTTATTATTTGCCGACCTTCTGTCCGTGTGAACAATAAATTTTTGTTTACAGCGACCGATCGTTAGAAATTTGGACTGCGAGTCTGCGACTTCTTTATAGTTTAGGAAAGAACATCACTATTAATGTCACCATATCACTTAAAAATTATAGTTTCCGCTGACACTGACTGTGTGTCTTTTTGTAGTCTTGGCGCGAGAAAAATTTGCCGGATTTGTATATTGTAAATGCAAATCACTTTTACTTTATTAGTTCTTATGTCGAATGGTAAACGTGCACTTTTATTATTTGTGGTGCTTCAAATTACTTTATTCCAAAAACCTACAGTTCAAACTTAAGAAAAATCGCATTGCAAGTTGAGTATGGACATGTGCAATTCAATTTTTGACTTATTCCGCATTGAATTTGCCTTTCTTTGAAGGGCCCACATTAAAATGGAAGTTGGGTCCCTATGTGCATGCATTTTCTTATGGTTTTTGTTGATGCAATAACTATTTTTTAGTGCACTTTCACTTTCAAAAAATAAAAAGTGAACTATTGCACCCTTTATGTCTGTCTGTCTGTGTAAGTCACAAAGGCTCCGGAACTACACCACTTAACAGACTTGGTATTGGTGTCATTCGACCAGAAATTAAAAATTAATTCATGTTTGTAATCTTGTTCAGCCATAAAGGCTATTAAAATCGAATTTTTCTCTCTTTTCGTTACATTTAAAATGAATTTATCTTTTAATCCAAACGATTC